GTAACAAAAAAAACACACACACACACACACACACACACACACACACACACACACACACACACACACACACACACACACACGACCATGCACTCGCACACATATGCATGCACGCCACAACGAGCAACAGCCGGACCATAAATAAAACATTAAGACACAAATACACAAATTCCCCCCCCACCCCCATTTCCTCCTCCCACTCCTCGCGGTCGACTTGGGACCAGTCTGCTGGCTCTTGGTTGATTGCGATCGACGTATTGGGCACCCCTGCCCTAAAAACAAAGGTAATTCACTGACTAGCTTAGCACTGAGCACTTAGCGCCGTTGTCTGCGTATGAGCGGTGATTCAGTCATCTGATTGGTTGTCAATCAAGTAACGCTATTGATGATAGGCTGACGTAGTACGTTCTGTGTATTAAGCACCGTTGTTTGAATAGCAGCGCCATCGCCGAGGCGTTTTCGACAATTGTCGTGTGAAAGCCCGGGAGCCGCATGGAACCAGCCAAAGAGCCGCGATTTGGCCACCCCTGCTTTTTGTTGACCTAAACCGATGACTAGTTTTAGTCAAAGATACTGATGACATTTTTGCAGATGGGTCAAATTCAGGTCCAGAAAGTAAAAACTCTGCCACAATTTGGCTTTCGTCCCAGGTGCTTCAGTCTGGTGACATTTCAGTCTGCTTTTAGTCAAAGAAATTTGTATTGTCGTCTCTTTTCAGTAATGCAATTCTATTTAAGCCTATCAATATCGTTTAAGTTCCTAATCGTATCGACAAAAGCAACGTTTTCCTTCAAGCCAGACCCAATTGCTACCTTCTAGATCCAAGAATAAATCCATCTCAGACACAGAAGAGGCTCTGACTTGAATTACTTTGTGATCCAACATATTTGTTATTTTTTTTGTATGTTAGACGCGCAAACACAACCATTTAAATAAAACAGTATCACAATGCCACCAACACACACAAAAACACACACTCTCACATCATTGTTTGACGCTAGCTTTCGAAATAAGAAACTTAACGTGACATGAATGTCTTGAATGACCTCTTTTTCATTTCGGATGCTTTGAGAATTATCAGATTAGTTTGAATTTGTGATTTTGTGGCCACTTTTCTCCCCCTTTAGTTTTTCCACAACACATTCATTTTCTTCTCTACAAGTGTACATGTAACAAAAGTGTTCCCAAATGTTTGTTGACCAAAGACAAACCCCGGCTGGTTGGCCATCGCTCCCTTTCTCTATGTTCAACTATGCTGACCAAGTTGTCGCCTACCGCATTCTTCTTCTGATCCAAATACTGCCGCTAGTCAGGATGGAGTAAAAGACATCGAAATAACACATGACAATTCGCGACATTTCAACATGTCTCATTTTAGCGTCGTTTTTATTTTGGAAAGCACATTTAGATTCGTTTTTATTGGTCAAGCATCTGGCATGACAGATTTAGTTCGCGTTATTGTCACATGACCAGCATTTTCGGAGTGTGTGAAGATTGTGAAGATATTTTGTCCTAATTGTCGTTGAAAACAGCGACACTACATTTATGCATCTCCGTGTCAGTTTCATTACGTTTTACTTAATTCCACTCTCTTATTGTTCATGTATGTTGAGTAAGTAAGAAATTGTGACGGCTAATTTGCTCTCTCAAAATCGCTGCAAATGCAAGGCTTTTTTACGGTCAAATGTTTTGTGTGAAAACAATGCTGATGTATTTTTTTTTCTTTGCTCGCTTTTAATGTTAGGCACACTCTGGCACACAAATTTGTAAATGTGACCGTATTGTCAGTGCCTCACCAGCCATGAGCCTCACCACTATGTTCAATATGACAATCCCATATAAATAATGTACGGTACATAAAAAAAGATATTTATGATATTCAACCAAAATTTTCATAATTTTGACTGTCAAAATTAGAATAACATAATAGTAGGCGAATGCATGCACAATGAAATAAGCTTAAATTGATTGCTATATACAATCGAAGGAGACAGATGAACACACTTAGTTCTACTCGGGACCTTTCCTCAAAGCAAGCCTCATGGTGACCTGGCCCAATCAAAAACTACTCTATGAAGAAGCAGCGGCCCAAAGAGCAAGCAGGAGGACCACCTGTTCGCTTCAGAGAAAAGAGATAATTGTCGTGCGGTTCCTCTCACCTGTGATTGTGGTGGTCCCTGCTGTCTGCACTGAGTAGGCTTGCTGCGAGAACGGCTTGATGCTGAGAGAAAGAGGCAGAAAGAAAGGGCACTATTAAAAGGCTGAAAGGACACAAGACACAGCATGGCCAGTCACATTGTACCTGCGGCGTACTGAAAGGGATTACGGTGTGTTCTGTGACTTGGAGAGAACACTTGCACAAGCAAAAGAGGTCAAGAGGGTCTAAAAGCTATGAAGGTCTCATTTCATATCCTCATTACCGTTCTGCAGTCATGTGACTTCAACTTGAACTCTAGACATGAAGGATTATTCTTATAGACAGGAGGGTCAAATCTAAATCCGCTAAACTTAAATGAATTAATCTTTTCCAAACAAAAGAAGTGCTTTTTCCCCCGCATGAGCAACACAATTGATCACATTTTAGGGTCACACCAAACTACATAAATGCAAAGGCTTTTACGTGTCATTTTTCCAGAAAATATCTTGATTTACAGTGGGAGTCTTTAAAGAACAGTGGTAATAAAAAATGTATAACCTTATTTTCTGCAGTCCAGTGGTACCTCTTTGTAAGTAGACGTGTTGTCCATGTAAATGCCCTTATCCATTCCAAGCCCCCCCCACCTCCTCCCAAAAACAAATTCTGACATAAATGTTTTCTAAAGCATAAAAATGCATCAAAATATGAAACAAATACATGTTATACATAGATTATATATTGCACAATAAATGAGAGTTGTGCAGAATGTAAAAAACAAAGAATACACTAAAGAATAAAAATCATGGTCATTTAACTTTTAACTGCGTCCTCATCGTTATTTGGCCCTTTTTAGTGCATGTTCTCTCTCAGAAGTCGGTTTTTGCCTGGCGTTTTGTAAAGAACTCATCCAATGACGTTTGCTTTTGTGGGCTTTTAACAATCCTTTGAAAATGTCCAAGGCTAACATCAGCATAGTGAGCGATCGCCCGAGTGGTGAACACTTTCTGGATGATTCACATTTACGTCAAACTATCGGAACGCCTCCTGGCCGGAGGGGCAAATGACGAGGATGCTGCATAGACACACTGTCGATCTATCTATCCACACTCATAGACACATACGGTAAGGTCCCTCTTAGCCAATGGGATAGCAGGATGATGCTCGGTAGTAGCCAATGGCAGAGCAGCTCTAAGTATGTTGCGTTCAGGAAACTCGGAGCTGCAAGGAGCAGCTCATACTGCATTTTTACCTTTTGGATCTTGAGATTTCTTTCCTAACAAGAGGCAATATTTTGATGTTGAAACATTTCAAAACTTGAAAATTTTGTATGGAGACGTTCATAAGTAGACGTACCACTGTATAAGGCCCCTTCAGGGTATAAGGCACACCTTCAATGAATGGCCGATTTTAAAACTGTTTTCATAAATACAGTGCACCGCATTATAAGGCGCATAGAATAGAAGCTATAGTAGGGGCTGCGGTTGCGTCATGTGTCCACTAGGGCAGAGGTCCCCCACCTTTTTTGCCCCACGGACCGGTTTCATGTCAGACAATATTTTCAGGGACCGGACTTTCAGGCCGGATAGATGCAACAATATAATATGACATGACCTGCATGAAAAGTGGGGTATTTTCGTAACATAATAAACAAGAATCATGACATGAGGAACATCCTATCTGGAGGCAACATTTTCTGGTCGCTATGGCAACGTTTAAACGTACCTTCAAAATAAGATACGCCGCAAATAAAAAGTGCATGAAAAATACGACTCACCATCGCCACTTATTATGCAGAGTAGTCTTGGTGCGTGTGGATCTCCCATTGAGGTAAAGCCGTATTTGAAATAGGACTCCTGATACTGTCTATTAAATGTAGCCTTCTCTTTCTTGAAAGTCGTAGGCTCCCCTTTTGTCTCCTGGCTGGGCCTTTTCCCCTTCCCGAAAAAACTTTTCTGAGACGTTTGTTTTTTATTCATTTTGCTAACTCCTGGGTTTCATTTCCTGTCACGTGACCGAGAAGCGCGCATTCAGAGTCCCGCTTCCCGATCTGCTCGGAAAATGGTCAGAAGCCGACAATATTAAATGTTAAATCTGTTAAATATTTATGAGTGTAAAACCTTATGTTTGTGGTCAACACTGAGTTTATCATGGCTTCTCATATTCTTTCAACTACTTTTTCTTCTGCTTTGTATTTGGTTCAAATTACCGGCAGTAAAAAAAAAAAAAATTGGCATGTGTACCCGCTTTTAGCAATGACACGATGGTTAATACAACATAAGGGATGCCCGGTTTGGTACATTGTTAGGAACTAGCAAGAACCAAGTACCAACGAAATTATTTTGAAGTCGTTATTTTAAGGTCCAGTTACCGGCATCTTCCCAAAACAAAAACTGGGAACACATTACTGCTTAATTAAAGGCCACTCATACATACTACAATGTGATACACTTGATATTGAATAACAATAAAACAGCTTGAAAGAGTGCACAATGTGACTTACTCTTCTGAGGCGGAACTGGACTGTCCTCCAGGGATCATCCCCTGCCACAGCTAGAAATACAAAAATAAATTATTAAGTATTATGAGATCAAGTAAGGAATCGCATTGTTGCACATTATAGGACCATAATAAAAATACACAAGGAATCAGGAGAGTATTAAATTGTATAAAAATTAGAGATAGAGTAATCCCTCGTTTATCGCGGTTAATGGGGACCAAAACCACCTGCGATAAACAAAAATCCGCGAAGTAGCAACCAATTAACATATACAGGTAAAAAGAATATATACCATAAATTCCGGGCTACAGACTACACCTGATAAAGAGCCGCATGCTCAGATTTATGAAGAAAAAAAAATTTTGTAATTACCGTAATTTCCGGACTATAAGCCGCGACTTTTGTCACACGCTTTCAACTCTGTGGCTTATTTCATGAAGCGGCTTATATAAAGACTTTTCTAACGGCTGGCTGTGTACCGTCTTTCTTTGTAAATATCTCATGTAACAATATGGGCACCTGCGGCTTATACACAGGTGCGGCTTGTGTGTGTACAAAATATTTTTTCCTTTAAAAACGTAGTGGTGCGGCTTATAATCAGGTGCGGTCTATAGTCCAGAAATTACGGTATAGGCGTTGCACCGTACTATAAACCGCTGGCCAATGAGTAGGCGGGGGTT